GAAGGTGGATGAGGCATATACTTGAATGTAATGGGGAACTTGAGGAGGCAGATCATTGAGTATGTTGTGGTTAATTTCTCATTATTTTTTTAAAGGACCTTTTTGTAGATAACATCTTTGGTGATTGTCTTGTTGCTGAATAGTCCTTGTGAAGAATTATTGTCCATAAAAAAGACAAAAAAACATTGGAGTACACTCTTGCACGTCAAAATGCAACATGTGGTTGGCCATGAGCAGAGAGAACACGGGGGGCTGGGAGTTATATTCCTAGTGTGTTGAATGTTTGGCTCTGGAATGTTGTTATTAAGTATGCATGAGGGTCAGGGCATAGGAAAGAACATTATTCAATGCCCAAAGTCCAAACCAGAGCTCACTGGCTGGAGTCCCTATATTCTTTTCCTTGAATATGAGTAGTAAAGAGCATATTCGTCTCCTAAAAAGGAACCTTTTTCACTTAACTTTTAATTAGTATGTTTGTAATTAGCAATCAACTTCCTATTTTCAGGTACTTAAAGCGAAAAGGTGTTGATATTGGTGCAACCTATATTCTTGTTTATGCCAAGCCCATGATGGGAAGAAGGTAAGGTAACAGATACAAGATACATTAGTCATTTTTTGAAAATCTCCCCCAATTCTTTGGAATGCTGCTGTATGGCATATGCCAATCACTGTGAATTTATTTCGGATTTTATGCTTAATGGACCTTTCTGCTAAGCCACACCCCTTGGATGTGGTTGCTATGGTGCCACAAAATGACAGTGCTAAAACATACGCAAACATGTGCGTTTGTGGTACAACACGTGTGTCTGTTAGACATGTCCGTATTGCTGGACCTGTTCTGATTGGTCAGTTGTTAAGCTTAATTGAAAACTCCAGAGAGGTCCATCCTCATGATTAAATCGATCCATAGCAACGAATAGTGTCACCTCACCTGTTTTTTTTGTTGTTGTTTTAACTATTTTCAGTTATAGGTGTAATTTTGCCCTACCTGACGTGGAAATGTACCGAATACTCAGTACATTTGTAAACAATTGCGAAAAAAATCGCAAGTTGTTGTCGGGTGGGACTCGAACCCACGATCTCCAGATCACTAGCCTGGCATCATACCTCTAGACCACCGAGCTTGCGCCTGATGGCCAGGGTTGAATTTGAGTCCAAGTAAGCAGCGGGTACTGCAGTGTTGATAGTAATAATAATAATTATTATTGTTATTGTCGTGATGGAATAATAGACAATAACTAGATTTGCGTCAGGAGAAACATGTATAGGTGTAAATTTGCCCTACCTGACGTGGAATTTTCAGTTAACTATATTATAAGTTTCCGTAAAACTGACAATAAATAATAATTATTTGTTTGACTGTAACTTTTTAATCCTAATTTTTGAAGGTTTTTATTAGGTTCACTTGTATAAAAAGTACTGTATTGCAGTTTTTGCTGCTAATGTATTTTTCTTAGATTTATGTATTTTATGTATTTTTGAATAAAGATACCAAGAGTTAATATACACACACACGCACACCAACACACCCACTAAACACTCTGTAATCAATATCTTTCCCATATATCTATGTAGGTATTTGCTTATATAACCATCTCTATTTTGCCAATATCTAATTGTTTACTTGTTATTAATTCATTCATTAACTTATCACTTTTATTTTGTGATCCAATCAACTAATTATTATTACGCAGTTTTGATTGGTTAATACCATTATATCTTCCAAGTTTACTAACTTTAACATTGATAAAGATAAGTATTGATTCCTGATGATGACATGATTAATGTCGAAATATTGAATCCCAATGCGATGGCGTGTATTTCAATACTTGGAGTATGTATTATACTTTCTTATAAGTATTGAAATATCCGATTTGTGGTCCGCAAGACAACCCTTAATGATTGTACATGGTCTTCTCATTTTACGTAGGTATACGTGCAGTTCACAAGGGAAAGTGACATTGGAGAAGGAGTGGGGAGAGTTGCCAGTTGCCTATGCACACCATATGCTGGTAAAGGTCAGTATCTCTTGGTGCTACTGTAACATTGGCAATGCTACTACATGTCTCTCTAATTAAAGATCATTTTAGAATTATTATGGATTTGCAGACAGTATGACTGTCTAAACCTTTTGGAGTTAAACTTCTTAAATATTGATTTTATTTTGATCTTCTATCTTAGTTGGGATTTAAATAAAAGGATAATCATTGAAAATGTTAATTTTTAGTGAAGTTTATTGAGTATTAGATTACAAAATTTTGAATTAAAAATGTTTCCATTGTCTTTTGTTTTTTAAGGATATATCTGTACATGACCCAACATTTCAGCAGTTTAAGACATTGGATGAACTGTTTCAAGTTGGGGCCTCGTGCTGCATGTTAGGCTCACCACATTATGGACATATGGCTAAAGTAAGTATTCATGCTCAGAAGCTTACCATTATGTGGACCTATGGCTGTAGTAAGTTTTTCTTGAAGCCACTGGCGGCAACACCTGCTGG